TTTGTGATCTTTTCCCCAACAGCTGTTTCCCATCTAGTTATCTAATGTCACCACAGCCAACAGTAGACTTGTGCGAATGATCTCCTGCTCTCACTGTCTTCCTTTCTGCAACTACAGGTAGCCCTACAGCAAATGAGAAATATAAGTATTCTCAACTCCCTAATATACTGAGAAAGAATATCTATACTGAAATAGGTTGGACTTTCCTGTTTTATTTTTGTAGAAAATTATACTGAATTCAGATTTCTTTTGGAAATGAGGATTGGGATGTGGTGACAACTGATAATCCAGTGAAGAATTATGACCATCTACTATGATTCTTAAGCAGCTGTCATTTGGTGGTGTTCAGTTGTGTGCATGAGGGTGGGGAGGTATCTCTGAGCATGACCATGTGTAATAATTGTGGTGTGTGTTTGTGAGGATGTGAGAACTTCCTCAGAAATTGTTCCAACATGCCCATCACAAGCATCAATTTTACAAAAATKAAACCCTATAATACTTCATGATTTGCATGAATCAATTCCTTCAAGCTTCATGACACCCAGATCTAAAGTTTCTGGTTACTCCCCACTCTGTAGATAGAGATGATGCTGAGCCAAAAGATCCAGGTTCTTGACTCTGTAAGTGGAAGGGCAATGAAGGTTTAGGAATTTGTCCTGATGTTGATTCTTTGGGATAGGGAACAGTATTCATTGCTCAGCCATATATTGTACTCCAGGTTATTCCAATATATATGTGTACTCATATCTCCTACAGAGATTTGAAACATTTTACATACTTTTAAGGTGGCCTCAGTGATCATCTCTAGAGGCAGATATCCTCCTAGGAGTACAAAATGAAAAGCATACATAGCCCACATGCTTCCAGTATAGCTGGAAAATCTAAGGCTCTGCTTCTCATTTATTGTTCTTCTYTTTGCCATATATTTTCACTACTGTCCATATTGAGAAATGCCTTAAATAATTCAAAAGCAATAACAAAAGTAAACTAATAGTCATTCTGTWTCTTCCTAGTTTCCCCAAATGGCATGGTGGAGTTAATACCTGGAGAAAGCATGGATCGGGAGGATCCATCAAATGCCATATAGTAAGTTTGCTTGTCTTCCTCTGAAATACTAGTGTTGCTCTTTAATTTCTCTTTCTATTGTAATATGATATGATTTCCTGGGGATGACATACACAATTTCCTGATTGGAGAGATTCTCATGGGATTTTCTATTGCCAACTGAGACCTAACTGAAGGCAAGATTACCAGGATCAGCTACACACTGTTTGACAGTAAGCTTTGTGGTCAGCAGTGGTTTTCCYTCTTGGCCATCGAATTCCATAGTTGTCACCTAATTTAGACTTGTGACACAAATCCCCTTAKAGACTTGTGTCATTTGGTGAGAGTATGTTTGCTTTGTTCTGGCCTTTGAGTTCCCTTGACTTGACCACTTTCTCATCTGCTTTTCTAATGTCACCAAGTAATCAAAAGACTTGTGCACAAAGGACTGAGCATGGCTTGATCTTCATAGTGACTCCCTTTCTGTATATACAGAAAGATTCAAGAGGAGTCATAAGTGGTATATATCTGGGCCCCACTCTCTTGCTGGTGCAAAATGTAGATGTTGCCAAGGGTCAGACATTCTTCCTTCCTTTTGTATGCAGAGTCTCAGTGATTCATCCCACTACCTCTTGGAGGATGAGAAATGAGGGTGTTTTGGTACAAAGTAATTTAAACACACACACACACACACAAAAAAAAAACTGTGGCCATTCTTCATGGTTCCTGGGATCAGCTGTGTGAGTGGAGTGGTGTGATCAGGGCAATGAAAGATACAGATGTGTGTCTTTGTGCATCCATGTGATGTGATTCTGAGTGTGCCTGTGTGTTCATTTTTGCACATTTCTCTAGATATATACACACCAAGATGCCACTGTCAACATGTTCAAACAAACAATCTTAATTACATCATTATTATATAAATAGATCAAATTGTAAATTTTCCATGTGTGCAGTTCATTCCATACCAAGAATACCTCAATTAACATGGAAAATATATCCCATCAAACCCTGGAAATTTTTCACATCAATAAAACAAACTGTTTTTGTCACTGCACCAGTAGCAACATCATTTAACAACAAACCTCACCTGTCAATGGGCTCTGAATTAAGTCAGGGCATTTGATTGTTCATAACACTTCACTCATGACAGTTTTTCACATTCATATACATTTTCTCTGAGAGGTGCCAGAATTTGTTTTCCAAACCCCATTCTAAGAAAACTTCTGGGCAGGGCCATTCCTTAGCAGTGACCCTCAGATCCAACAACACACTGTACTCTTAGGTTAGGAGTCTGAAAGTAAATGCCCAGGCCAGAGTTCCCTGAAGCTAAGGAAGGACTCAGTTTGCATGTTCCAAATGATACTGAAAGCTGCGTTATTGGGTCCTTTTGTAGACACTAATTGAGAAACATGCTTAAAGTGGAGGAACTTTCATGGGGCCTGACCATCACAACTACAGCATCTAGTTACAGGAGTATGGGCTTCAGTGAAGATCAAGCTCAGCACAGCAGTGGTGTCTGATCCCATAGTTTAGGTCTGTGCTGCCCCTATATGGCCTGGAGGATATCACATTGACAGTGTCTCTGATAGGTCTTCACAAATGCTATCTAGGTCCTTCCAGTTATATGGACATGGATACTGACAGTGACTGGTCTCTGAGGGTGGAACCACTGTGCTCATCATTCCTCCTCATTTCTGAGCTTATTCCTAAGCAGAGTGTCTTCATCTTAGTCCCTTATCAGCACGTGATGAGTGCCACTCTGAACTGAGACCTCACTTGTCCAGCCTGTGGGACTCTACAGTGAKCCAGGTATCCACCTGGGATTTGACCAGGGCCAGAAAGAATCAGTAGAAAAGTTAAGAAGATAGCATTGTGTCCAAGCTCTGCACCCACATTTCTAGGCAGGATGTACTAGACCCTGCAGGGATCCACCTGAATCTTAATGTTGACTTTGTTTATGTAGTGTCCTCAGGCCCTCAAGAGTTCCTGGCCCTTTTGCAAGAGTTCACAGTCTACTTACAAGAAAGAGGTGAGATCAGGTTAGCAAACTCCTCTGCAACGAAATTCAGGGTATGGAAGTTTATGTCTGCTTCATCTTTGAACTCCAGGTCTTTGCCATACAAAATAACATGGATGTGATGTTTATATTTAATTTTATTCAAATTTTAATATGAAACATTCAGAGCCTCATCCCAGTTTCACATTTCAAGTGCCCAGTAGACCTATGTCCATAAGGCAGAGAACATTCCCATTCTCTTGTGGGTAGCTGCCCTGATTCTGGCACAGTGTCTGTTCTGTGAATTTATATTCTTCAAACTGTCTGCATCACAGGTTGCATGTCAGCTTGGGCTGTTTCAAGGAAAGAGTAATAATGTGCCAATAGAAGGAAGAAAGTACTTAAAATTTGACTCCTTCAGCTCCACTCTCTCACTTAAATGTTTGCAATTGTTTGCAGAATCCTGTTGAAGGCCTCTGACTCCCCAGAGTTTAAGAGGGTCTGAGAAGCCAGAAAAAGAGATAAGGGTAATCCTAACTATTAATATTAATGTATTATTATCTTTTCCTGCTATTAAGAAAACACTTGTGATATAATAATTTATACAGGTGTGTTTAGCTTAAAGTTCTGGAGAAAAGAGCATGGCACTGGTAAGCGTATGGCTTTAGTGAATGCCCTCTTAGCTGCATCACATGATTGGTGGTGTCAGCATGGATGCAGGTGCAGGAGGGAGACATCACATGGGGAGACAGGAAGCCAGCAGGRATCAGATGATTCATTTGCTCTTCTTATATAACCAGCATTTAACAAGGGTTTGAGAAATCTATATTCTTAACTCTGAGTCTCATGCCCTCAAATGACCTCATCACCTCCAAGGAGACCCTTCCTCATGCAGGATTCACAACTCTCATTATGGCCATACTGAGTACCAAGCCTCAATCACACAATCGTGTGGGGGACAGACAACATCTCACCCTAGCACCCATCATGAGCTTAATTGGTGTAGAAGAAAGCATGAGATAATCTTAAGTAACTCTGTTGCTGATATTTGTTTCTCTAAAGTTTGGATTTACAGCCAAGCTTATGACTCCAGCAGCGAAGATGAAGAGCCTGCAGGTAGGAACAGCCCTTGTGGTATGAGCCAATGGGAAAGGTTTCCTGGTAGGAGTGCAATCCATCTACACATGTAGAAAATGAGGAATGGGCATGAAATAGAAATTTAAAAAAATGTATTGTTTTCATAGTTTAATGACATAAGATAAAAGAGTTAATATACCTTCTGACTTTGAGCATCCAATTCATAAGAATATGTCATTTTGCTCAGATTGTTACACACAATCTTCACTATAAGACCCACTCTGTCCTGCATTTGCCTCTACTAAGCATCAAATAGCTAAGCTTTAATTGTTGGCTATGTCTTAGGAATTATGCATTAAAGAATTAAGATCTGGGCTTTGGGTTTGACCCCTAATGGAAGGAATCTAGTGGAACACAATTTTATTTAAGAGGCATTTTGTGAACATGTAGTCAAAGTTATCACTTGTGCTAACCAGTGTGTAAGAACTCAAAATTCCCCTCTGTGTGTTCTTCTGTTTGTTGTCTACTCCTGCCTGGTTTAAAAGGAACTCACAAATTTGGAGGACTTAAAGAAAATTTCTTCAGTGCTACCTGGACAGGCCTCTGGGTTCTGCTATAAAAGAGTGGGGAGAAGTTCATCCTTGAACATGTTTCTCACCTCCTGTCTTCATCTAATTCCCAAACAATGGGACTAGAAGAACAATCTAAATTTGCAGGAACAGGATGGCACAGACATCCCTACTGAGTACAGGGGTAGAATATGAACTGGAAAAAGCTCTTGGGATTCCAGATCTATTCCTCATTGCAGAGTTAAGGTGATAGAGGCCAGGAGACAGGAGTGCAGACAAGAGGAAGAATGGAGAGCTTTGACTTTGGACTATAGAAAACCAGGAGCAGCAACAACTCAAGTTCTCACCTTGACTTTAACTCTGCCTYTCACTTTTCCAAGGCCACGTCTTCACCATTACAGCCCTCGTCCATAGAGAAGACATTGTAACAGATCCTGAGGATGAGGATGAGGAGAAAGGACCAGAAATCTGCAAGTAATTGATTTTCTATTTGTGTCTCTTCTTTATTCCTTTCTTATTTTGAAACTCTTTGTATCTTTTCCATATTTCCCCTTTCCCACTTTTTATGACATTTCTAAAGGTGCTTTCCCCATTCAGATATTTGAGGTCTTTGTATCATTAATGTCTGTTAATCTGTCTGCACCAGMTTTCTTAGTCTTGCCCTGGTCTCTGACCTCAGGCAACACCAATGAATCATATTGAGAAAAACTGCATGGCCTTGCACTGAGGTTGAGTAGGTGGGTGGGGGTGGTCAGAAAGACTGAGTTCTTCCCTGGGACATAAACAAGTGGCGCTCTATTCTAGCCACCACTGCACACCTGGGTTTTCCTGCCCTCACTGGTTTTGAGCATGCATAAATGTACCCTTACTTTCCTATGTCAAGATTACACAATTAGAACATAATTCTCCCAAAGTAATCTGTTYCAGGGATCCTGCCCTGATTTAAAATGTCAGATCAAGGCAGCAAAGATAATAAAAAAGTTTGGGAAGAGGAAGTGTGGGTATGGAAGGAATGGGAAGGAGAGYAAAAGTCAAATAAGTGCACGTATTCTCCATTGCTTCCTTAAGAAGCAAGGAGAGCACTGAAGTGGCCTCCATTGCATGTAACCATGACCATGCAAGGGGAGGTACAATAATGGTTAAAATAAGTGAAGGAAGCTCTCTGAGGATGGAGCTAYAGAGGGTAGGGCTAGAGGAGYAGGGTCTTTGCTCTACCCTGTCTCATCACAGGTGCTGCTCCTTAGGGTCCCAGATGTGTGCTACTCAGYCTTTACACCCAAATGTCCTAGAGAACCCTTCCCAGTGCCTCATGTTCACTCGAAGCAGCCTCAGAAGGTTCTGAAGGTGAATGTCCATGGGAATGTCCTTGCTYCCGAGGACATTCATAAACATTCTCTGCCCACAGACAATACCCTCARCTGAGGGCAGCATACTAGCCTCAGTTCTCCCTGCCCAGACCCCAGGGAAAATCAGGGCCCAAATTCATTTTGCATATCCTGAGGACARTTGTGGTCCTGGCCACTCTCTGTGGCCAGCAACCCATCCCAAAGTGAMCTTTTACCTGGTTCTATGTTATAGACTCCATAGGACACCTGGGAGAACAGTGATTATGGTCCCAGGACTCAGGACAGACGAAACTGGCAGTGAAGAACAGCTGGAATCAGCCTACAGGACATGGAGCAGGAACTGGTTTTTCTGTTCCAACAGATAACAATGTATATTGTATAGAACTGTACAGACTAATGTGTACTTTGTTAAATAATTTTATTTTAATCTTAAATTTTTATATTAAATTCTATTTACTTGGTAATAGAACTCATTATGTAAAATAAAACACATCATTGGAAAACACACTAAATAGATGTAGATGTTCTTGATCTTAATAGATTAAGATTAGACCTTAATCTTAATAAATCAATGAATTACAAAGAAATTACCTGGTGACCACCATCACCATCACTCTTATCCTCCCATACCCCGAAGTTTGCTTYTTTGTTGTTTTTTAGATTGGTTTTATAATATTCATTAAATTAATGATGTGAGTTAATAGAAACAATAAAGAAACAAAGAATTAAATTGCAAGCCAAGTAATATCCCAACTAAAACCATTAAGTGTTTAATTTATTTATCCATTCATTAGGTAACTAATCTCAAGACAAGACACTCAATATAATAAAGGCCTGGAAAATAAGTGCCAATTTTTACTTATCAAAATTGTGGTTTTGCATTTTGTATCCTTTTCTCAATCAAGAAAAAATATTTTTGAATGTATAACAGACATATAAAACAATTTGGAAACATACATTATAAACTTGTAACAATGGCTATAAATACATTMACTGACATGTTTCTCATTGRCAATAGGATGGTTGTGGTGGATATAGAGCATGAACACTACTAAGATAATCAAGACTAGACAAAAAAACACATGTCAGCTCTATGGTAACATACGAAG